GGAAAAATATGAGCAAATCAGGAGGAAGGAGTCAAGGAGGTAAGCCAGGAAACATGGGTGGTGACAGGGCCAAAAGTTCATAAAGAACAGAAAGGAAGCCATTTGATTTTGTAATCACTAGGTAAGTGATGACTTTAGCAAGAGTCACTTCAGGAATATATTAGTGTCAAACAGCAGTCAGTAGAGAATCAGGCAAATGGGACGTGAAAAATAAAAGGCAGAAAACAGATACTACAGGTATCAGGGGGACTAGTATAGTCTGAATGGAGAGAGAAGGCATACAACACCATATACAAATGGATGACCAAAATATGGTATATCCAGTTAATGAAATATTATCCATCCATAAAGAATGAATTAAGTATCCTATCACACATACACACATGCACAGACAAAGGGAATACTGACATATGCTTCACTATGGATAACCTCAAAAACATTATGCTAAATAAAAGAAGCCAGTCACAAAAAAGCCACACAGTATGTGGTTCCATTTATATGAAATGACCAGAATAGGTAAATCTATACATACAGAGAGACTGGTGGTTGCCAGGGGCTATAGGAAGGGAATGAGCAATGTTGTTTAATGGGCATGGTGTTTCTCTCTGAGGTGATGAAAATGTTTTAGAACTGAATAAAGGTGTATTTTCAGCGTACAATGAAATGACACTGAACTGTGCACTGTGAAATGGTTAAAACAGTAACTCATGTATATTTTAACACACGCACAGAGTCAACCTTAGTCAGTAAGAAACCACTCAAGGCATTATATGGAAAACTAAATGGAAGGGCAAATAGTCCATAGGAATTTTAATAACAATCTTTAAAATTTTCGAGTCACCAGGAGAAGATAAGTTATGGCTACTGGTAAATTGCTAAATGAAACAATTTCATATGGTTCAATGTAATATATTCTTTTTTGGGGATTTTGGTGGTCTGGGGTTTGAACTAAGAACTCTGCACTTGGAAGGTAGGTACTCTACCACCTGAGCCACACTTCCAGCCCTATATTCTCATTTATTTATTTTTGGTGGTACTGGTGTTTGAACTCAGGGCTTTGCCCTAGCAAAGCAGGTACTCTCCCACTTGAGCCATGCCTCTAGTCTACTATGTTCTCTTTTAAAAGACAACACACTCTATGTGACATTTTATAAAGAATGCTGTCATTGTTAATGCTAGATAAGTCAAATACTTCCTTCACCCACAATTCTAAATGATTCTGGCTGTTGAATCTCTCCCCCCTCACAATGAAACCCCCAACTTGGGAGAGTTAAGAGAATTTTCGCTGGAGGGAAAGGAAGAGCAGGCCACACAGGATGCACACTGGCTTGGCCAGCTCCTTCCCAGAGGCCCCTGAACAAGTGGAGGACCCTCCCAATGCTGGACTATCTCCTCTACAGGGACACACGCTGTTCCTGGGCAGTCATGCCAAGTGGGTTTTCTAATGAGGAGCAGCAACTCAAGCCATGCCCCACCCTGACCAAAGCAGCCCTGCTCATTATCTCTTAGGATAGTCTTCATCACCTCTTAAAGATGATAAAGAGAGAATGTTCTGGGCTAGTGGAGTGGCTCAAGTGGTACAGTGCCTGCCTACTAAGCACAAAGCCCCGAGTTCAAACCCCAGTACCACTAAAAAAAAAAAAAGAGAATGTTCTAAAACCAGTCAAAAGGAATCCTAGCTACTAGGGAGGCAGATAAGAAGAACACGGTTCAAAGTCAGCTCAGGCAAATAGTTCATGAGACCTTACCTTGAAAAAATCCAACACAAAATAGGACTAGAGGAATGGTTCAAGCAGTAGAACACTTGCCCACCAAGTGTGAGGCCCTGAGTTCAAACCACAGTACTGAAAACAAAAACAAAAACCCACCACCAACAAAAAAGAATAGCCAAAGGCAGGCAGGGATTCTTTTATTTCAATAATAACCTTGCTTCCAAGGCCCTTGAGAACTTGGTAGAGAAATTCTGACAAAGATTTATCTAGGTAAAGCAAAAATGACCAACAGGAAATGAAGCGGCTGTCATCATAACAAAGGAGGCTTCTCAAAGGAAGTAAAACTCCATTCCCAACAAACCCAGTGAGACCTTTCTGATGCAGACAGCTTTTGGAATGACTCAGTCTTCTACAAAAAATACACATTTGAAGCTGAAGAAAGACAACACTAGTAGAGTTCAGAGTACATTCTCTTATTTGAGAATAATTATTCTCAATAATAATTATTGGAGCCTCTGCTTCCTCATCTGCACAACAGACTCACAGTCTCAGAGGAAGGTTATGATGAAGCCACCAAAAGAATGTAAGGCGCCAGCGCCAGTGGCTCACGCCTGTAATCCTAGCTACTCAGGAGGCAGCGATCAGGAGGATGAGGTTTTTTGAGACCCCAGCTCAAAAAAAACCTATTGCAAAAAAAAAAAAAAGGCTGGTGGAATGGTTCAAGGTGAATGAAGGCCCTAAGCTCAAACCCCAATATTGCAAAACAAAAAAAGAAAACAATGTAAGGTGATCAGCTCAGCTCAGTGACTGTCCAGTGAATTATAGTGCTATCAAACAAAGGAACCAGGCCTCAGGCAGTATTTATCTATCCCATGTCAATCTAGTCTCCGCTATCTTAAGTTTAGAATAAAACACTAAATACTTCTATAGTAACACAATTGAAATTCTTTCTTTGTTAAAAAAATCATTTCTGCCAAACACTGTAGCTCTATAATATAGTTTAACAGAGTTGTCTATAATATAGTTTAACAGAGTTGATCAATAGTTTGACTTATGAAAAAGGCCTTGGGTTTTATCCCCAGCACCAAAAGAAAAGTTTGACTTAACTATAGCAAGTAAGTGAAAATTTCTAATTTTACAGAAGTAAACAGCACTCTAGATTCTTGGAAATAATACAGTAAGAGTGATAGAGCCTACTGAATTCTTCAATCTTCTATAAACCAAGGTTGCTTCTAAGTTATTTTTATCAGTTTATTTTTGAGACAAGTTCTCACTCTATAGCACCAACTGGCCTTGAACTTGTGATCCTCCTGCCTCAGCCTCCCAAATGCTGGGATTATAGTCATGGCCATCATGCCCAGCTAAGTTATTTGAAATAGCATTCTTTTGGAATATGTACATCAAAACAAGAATGATGTTAATCACTATCAATCAAAGAATCTCCATCATCAAAACTATCATGTTTTGGTTCACAACTGCTTGTCACTTCTGAATAAAACACAAAAAAACTACAAATGGCATGAGTTGCTTTCACAGTTGTTCCTGGTAGGCACTATTTTCTAACACCCTGAAAGATGACTTATTTTTGAACTGTTAATCCCAAAACCTTTTCAGTAGAAAGCTAGTTGAAATCCCTGTTATGAAGAGAATAGAGCTGCTATGATGGAGAGGACCCTTAAAAACCTCTGCCCAAGAAGTCAAGTTTCATGAGCTCTTTCCTCTTCTAGGTGACAGAGACAAGAAGTGTAATTATCAGTCCAGATCAGGTCACACATAAGGGGAAATGGTAATCTTTGCGTTCCTCCAACTGATGGAATCTACTCTCAACCAGAGATGTTCAATGAAAGAGAACAAGAAGGGAACAGACTTAGTACTTTGCCAAACTCCCACTCTTCTAACTCCTTGTGGACACAGAGACCAAAAGTTCTACATGCTCTAGCTAGTGCTAGGAAGAATGAATCTCTTCAGGTCAAAGGGCTTTTTAATGTCAAGAACCCCAATTTCTCACATACTGATCAAAGGAGAGTGAAGTGATCCAACATCACTCTGATTCTCACCCTCTGATTCTCTTCCAGACCAAAATCAGAAGAGGACAAACATCTATGGATATTACTTGCTAATGATGTAAAGCAACTTACTATCTTCTGTTTGCCTTCATTTTCTCTTTTTCGAGTAGGGATAACAAGAGTGCCATCACACAGAATTTTGGTAGGGATTAAGTGAGATGATAGGTATCACCTGCATGTGCCTGCTGCACAGTAGGAGCCAATGAGTTAGCTGCTATCAACCAACCGCAGCAGCATCATATTGGAGTCTAGAGAATGTGGCATTTCTTTTTAAGAAATGAGAAAACTCTGGGAAACTATAATAAAGATCTTAAAGTCCGAAATCAAGTCTTCAAAAAGCAATTTCATAACAAGTTGCACCATGTCCATGAGTACTCAACACAGTGACTTCAAACGATTCCATCCCAAGTTACAATCTATGTTTGCAACGTATGATGGGGGATGGGGGTGGGTGGGAGGTTCCCTTTGCAGGAAGCAAGAATGCAAAAGTCTTAAAGATGTAGTTTCAAGTTGCTGCTCTGGGGTCGGATGTGACTACCAACCTATCAACTTAGGTTCAACTGTTAGAAAAGTCCAAAGCAGAATCAATTCTGTTCCCACGCTTAACTTCGGCCAGAAACCTCTGTGACTTAAATATGCAAGCAAACAGGTTGTGGTTCATTATAGTTATAACCCACTTTCCATATGTATCAAAGCACATGAGTGCACATATATTCATAGGTCTACTAGGGAAAAGCTTTAACATTTTTTAAATTTAAAGAGAAACAAAGTTCTATTTAAAATCAACTGTCAACCCTCACACTAAATCCATGTTCTTAGAATCTGTTTCCTTAAAAACAATTCCAATAAAAGAGAAAAAAATCTTAAAAGTCATTTTGAAATCCAAGCAGTGGTACATAGGCAAATATCCCTTTTCATTTAAATTCATTGCTAGGAGATTGTCTAATAAGGACCTTATTTTCTGCTTGCTTGTAAGATCCAGTGGTGTGTGCATGTGTGTGTGTGTGTGTGTGTGTGTGTGTGTGTGCGTGTTTAGTGAACCTACCCTAAATTCTAAAGCACCATACTTAAAAAAAAGGAGACACATAACACACATAATGTGAAATCCCATTTGGAACGACCCAACCACAATAAGCAGACTTCAGTAGTCTCCAGGTGAGCCAAAAACAGCAGCAGACATTAGCATGGTAGACCTAGAAACCCCCACCAAAGGTCCACTGACCTTTTGATGACTTGTGACTTCGTCCCTGCTTCTCCCCAGTTCCTCAGCAAGTTTGACGTTCTCTTCTTGCAATGCTGAAAGCTGCTGGGACTTCTGAGCTGCTGCCTGCTTTAGGGTTTCTCTGCAAAGACAGTGAGTGCAGGGTTACCATAGAAACAAGACAGGCAAGGAAACTGTGGGAGACAACCAGCTTCACAGCACTGAGGAAAATAGATTTGGGTCACGTGCCTGATAGGATCTATAACAATGAAAGACAGGGTTATCTACATTATGGAGAGGTCACATGGCATTAATCTCTCAAGAGGAGGATGGCTGCCCACAATTACTACATTTTGTAAAAGCTAATAAATGGTACAACCACCCTCCCACCACCCACAGTTACCCCACACAGAAAGGAATTTTGCTATAAAATAAACGATAAATGAGATGGTCAATACAGCCTTGTCTTGTGTAATATTTCCACTAAATAATTATACTAAACCCACTACATTAATAACATGATTTAATTTGCAGCCAAGGCATTCTATACTAGCTGTGTGGATCTGTAATCTGTTTCTCTCTGGCAGCAATAAAAATCCAAAGGTCCCGTTTATGAGCATCTGTCAGAGTTAAGTGCTGATGTAAATCTGAGTATATCTTTAGGACAACTAGAGGTGAGATGCCCAATGGTCATAGTTCTCTAATTAAATACAGGTACTTTATTTTCATGATAATCTTTCCACAATGCCGACGTGTAATTAAAAGAAGCAAATAAAAATACAGCTTAGTAAATAACCTCTATCATGAATATAAGCAATATATAAAATATGAACAGGGTGGCATATTTATTAAACATCTTCCCATTATTAAAATTAACCCAAAATGCATATTCTAAGTTATTATCATTTACACACTGATATTCAGAATATTTTACTTGATTGCTGGATTTTAGTTTTATGCCATAGAAGGTTTTGATGCAATTTTGAATTTTAAGTAAGTGTGCTGGTTTAACTCCACTTAGCAATCTGTCATACATGGCTGAGTTCTGAATCCAGTCATCTGGGTATGAATCCATCTGTTGATGCACGAACACATCTATTTTTAACTCAATTGTCTAATGGGTTGCGCAGTGCTCGGCATCCTCAATTTTCTCAATTTTTTAAAAATTCTCCACCTACCTATTATGTGCATTGTGTGATGATCTCATAAAGATCTGAGGGGATAAATCTACACAAAAATTCTCTTAACACAGTAAATTAGGCTTTTTTACAGAAATGTTTATTGAGTAAGTGGAAAAAAACTAGGAAGAAATTTTAGCCTCAGGTAATTAGCCATCTAAAAGCTGGGAGGACTGATTTTAATTGTGGATCTATCAATCTATTCATCCATCCATATACATATGTTTATACGTGTGTGCATAGATACATATATGTGCGCACGTGTGCACACACACAAGCATCACAGCTATAGAACACTGTCTGGCCAAAGCCCACTAATCCTTGACAATCCATAAGCCAAACACTACTTCTCAGGTGGTTAATGCCTTCAAAGAGGCTATTTAGTCTCAGCATTAGTGTGGCCTGTCAGAGTGATATTTGTGCTCCTCTCCCTTCTGTTTGACAATTATCGTCTGTTACAAGTTTTTTAACCCCTGGTTTACTTTAAAAGCCCTCCCAGTAAGGAAAATTAAAACAAGGAGTCAATGAAGCTCTTCAAAAGTGGCCAAAATACGCTAAACAACCTATAAAACGTGCAGGTTGTTGAAAATTTAATGTTTCAAAATTTATAAAAATGCTTTCATGTACATTTTATCATTTAATCCTTAAAGCGCAGGGAGGCTAATGTTTATGTTTACATGAGAAAACTGGGTTGAGCACAGCCTCAGGGGGTGGAGATAGGCAAAAATTCCATAAGACCACAATTCAACCAGTAAAAAAGCTGGGGACACGCATGTTTGTCATGTGCCTGTCATTTCAGCTCTGCAGGAAATATAAACAGGAGGATCGTGGTCCAGGCTGGTACAGGCATAAAAGTGAGCCCCTATCTGAAAAATAACAAAAACAAAAGGGTCTTGGGGGTGTGGCTCAAGTGGTAAGCACTTGCCTGATAAGCACCAGGCCCTGAGTTCAACCCCTCAGTATTGACAAAAAAGGGAAGGGGTGAGGAAGGGAGGGATTCGGGAGGGAGGAAGTAAAGAAGGAAGGAGGAAGGAAGGAGGGAAGAAGGAAGGAAGGAAGGAGATCAAAAGATTTGCTCCAAATCATAAAGCCAGTAAGCAGTAGAGTCATAACTGGCTGGGATTCTGCAGTCAGTTTTCGGCTTGTCTCCAGTGGGGAGTAGGGACAAGCATTTCATGGAGGAAAAAGACCTCTACAGCTCCAATTCTTGAGGCACTCAGGAATGGTTCTGAGAACACCTGCAAAAATATTTGTAGGGACTGGGCAGATAGCTCAATAGTAGAGTGCTTGCCTAGCATGGTTAAGGTCCTGGCGTCCATCCCCAGTACCACCAACAAGAACAACAAAAACTTCCTTCGTTCCTGCCCAACTTCCCTTCCCTCCCTCCCTCCTCATCTCCCCCCTCTTTCTTTCTGTCTTTTTTTGCAGTGTTGGAGATCAAACCCAGGGCCTTGCACATGCTAGGCAAGCACTTTACCACTGAGCTACATCCCTAACCCTAGGGTTTTTTTTTTTTTGTGGTACTGGGATTTGAACTCAGGACCTGCACCTTGAGACCTACACCAGCCCTTTTCTGTGATAGGTTTTTTTGAAATAGGGTCTTGTGAACTATTTGCCTGGGGCTGGCTTCAAACCATGATCCTCCTGATCTCTCCCTCCTGAGAGGATTACAGGTGTGAGCCACCAGCAGTTGGCTCCCTCTAGTAATTTTTAAAGAAGTTACTTTTCTTTGCATTCCACAAGATATATCCTGGGGAGGGGGACTGTATTTAAACTGAGAGATAAACACTGCAGATATTAACTTGGATTCCTTCATAAATCTATTAATTATCATGGTAAGTATATTCCAGTTTATTACTAAGCAAGGCATATAAAATTAAAGATTGTTTATATCATTTTCCCTAAGTTCTGAAGGTATACACCAGCAAGAGACCACATGACTGTCACTCTCCAGCTAAAAACAGCTGGTTAATCAAAACCAACAACTCTCCTAAAGCTGGTGTAGGAAGTAGCACGAAGGGAAAGAACACTGGGTCTCACGTGCTGGCTTCCAGTGGCAAGGGCAATATTCTACAGAAGGGAGCTCCTACTAGAACCTCCAGGATACATAGGCACTCCCCCACCCACACGCACCCACCAAGGAAGTGCAGTGCTGTGGTTGTGGGGGCACCAAAACAGCTCCAGAGGACATGAAGAACTCTATGCAAACAATAAGCTACAAGAAAACAAGCAGCTGCTCATTCTCCAGCTGCAGGCACAGAGGAATGCACTAAGGAGCACAAAACAACTGCAATGTTCTGAGAAGCTGTTTCCATCACACAGTCCTTTGACAGCGGATGGTCCTTCAACAAGCTCCTCTAGGCTCCCTCCACCAGTTTCTGTGGAAAGCTGCCATCTGCCATAGAGTGCCCAGTCACTGGCAGGAAGATGGGATGCCCTCAGGACTGGTGGGGAAAAAAGAAGGTAGAGAATCTAAAGCAGCCCAGCTAGATCTGGCCTGGGTCTGTTTCTCCCTTAGCTGAACTATCTCCCAAAAAGCAGGAAGAAGGATAGGCTCCAGTTACCTTAACAGCAGCTGGGGCCAAAGATTTTTATTCCCATGAAAATCTTTGCTTCCACAGACATGAAACAAGGCACAAAGATAATCTCTCCCTGCTCCTTCTTCCTTCCCTCTTCCCCTCTCTTCCTCCCTCCTTCTCTCTCTCTGATACTGGGGATTGAATATAGGACCTTACAAGTACCAAGTATGCACTACACTTCTGAGTTCCAGTAACAATGTATCTCTTTGTAGGGGTGAAGCCAATCCCACACTAACTGGCGTGGGTAACATGGCAGGATCTAGTGAGGTCTCTGAAAATTAATGGTGACCTCTCTAAGATCAGACTGATAAAATGACCATTACAAGACTCCCAAGAAGCACTGCAGGAATGTTATCTAAATCCCAAGAGCTCTCTTGGATAGATCCACTGTGGCCCTGTCCATTACCTAGTGCGGCCGAGAGAGCTCAGGAGTGGTACTATGGCAGTGGGAGGTTGGTGAGGGGATCTTCTGCTGCTCACATCCACCCTCATCAGATGCCTGTGTGACACAAGTGAACTAAAGTCAACTTAGTGTTGCAAGTGCTCCTGGTTAGCATAACTACTTGTGTCACAGAGAAAAAAATCCTAAATTGTATTCCAACCTACCCTCTCTAAATATAACTAAGCTCTTCTTTTTTCTTTTCAGTTTTTTTTTTTTTAAAGACAGGGTTGCATTATATAGCTCAAGTTGGCCTTGAACTTGTGATCTTCCTGCCTCAGAATCCTGTTTATTGGGATTACAAAGGTAAACTGCTTCACCTGGATTTAAGTTATTATTTTCTTTTTTTGCAGTACTGGGGCTTGATCTCAGGGTCTACACCTTGAGCCACCCCACCAGCCTTTTTTTTTCCCCACCGGCCCTTTTTTTGTGATGGGTTTCTGAGATAGGTCTCATGAATTATTTGCATGGACTGGCCTTGAACCAGATCCATCCTCCTGATCTCTGCCTCCTAAGTAGCTAAGATTACAAATGTGAGCCACTGGTGCCTGGCCTAAATTGTTATTTTCAAACACTGAATTTATTTTTTCTATCACAGTGACCAATTACCTATTTGTATAATTGAATTCATTCTCTTTTCTTTTCTTTTAGCAGCACTGGGGCTTGAACTCAGGGCCTCACATTTGCTAAGTAGATGCTCTACCACTTGAGCTACTCCACAGCCCCTAGTCGCGTATTTGGCTTTGGTAGGTCAACTTTAAAACTCTAACCAATGGCCATGACCACAACTGTAAATTTCTATGTCTGTGTAGATGAAATTTTGGGAACCATTAAAACATAATCTAGGGGAACATAATTAATACTGAGCTGGAGGAAGGGAATTAATCAGCAGCAGCATGGCTGGGCATCTCCTTTACCAAGGAGTGCACATCCAACTATTCCTAGCAGAATCTGAAGAACTCTCAGAAGAACGAGACATATACTAGCTTAATCCAAGCTTGAGGAACAAATATATTGAGAATGACGATTTAGAAAAAGCAGCTTGGAACTGAAGCTTTTATTTCTGTTTGAATCTCATGTATTTACTTTATTATAATTAGAAATAAGAGATATAAACACTTGAAGGAAAGCCATTACACATAATTTTTCTGTGCATCCTTCCTAGTACGTGGCAAGAAGAACACACTCATATATTCACCAGACTAACTGGCTCGGGATTTTTATGTTCATACAGCTGATACAGTGTTCTCATAAAGCAAAAGACCAAAGGATGGAGGTGAGGCTCAAGCAGCAGGGCACCTCCTTCCAAGCACAAAACCCTAAAGTTCAACCCCAGCACCACACACACACACACACACACACACACACACACACACACACACACACGAAAGCAGAAGAATGAAATCTATGCTGTAACCATAACTTAAAGTGCCACATATATACCATTCTCTGATAACTACAATAACCAAACTTCCAAACTTGAAAGTCAAAGGTTTGGGATGGCAGAGTGGGTCAAATGGTATGAGTGCCTGCCTAGCAAGCATGAGGTCCTGAGTTCAAACCCCGGTGCTGAAAAAAAAAAGAAAAAGAAAAAAAAAAAAGCAAGGGCTTAGGTTAGTGTCACCAAAGGAAATGTAAACAGTCTTTGTGAAATGGAGCAGTAGGATGATGAGAAAACCCTTATCTATCCACCCACCCACCCCCCATCCATCCACCCAATCCATCCACCCAATCCATCCCCCATCCATCCACCCAATCCATCCATCCACCCATCCATCCACCCATCCACCCACCCATCCACCCATCTATCCATCCATCCATCCACCCATCCATCCACCCACCATCCATCCATCCATCCACCCACCATCCACCCATCCACCCCCCATCCATCCACCCATCCATCCACCCACCCACCCACCCATCCATCCATCCATTCATTCATTTGCTCACATTTTTGGTTTTTGAAACAAGGCCTTGATATGTAGCAAAGACTGGCTTCAAACTCACAATCCTTCTGCCTCAGCCTCCCCAGTGCTGGGATTACAGGCATATACCACCATGTTCAGCTAAATCCTAACTTCTAATTCATCTAAATTCATCTAATTCATCATATGATTTGATTATTCTTGAAATCAAGATACTGAAAATCTTGAGCTTGAAATGCTAGGGGTCTTCCCTGCAACAGAGTTTTTCCTATAGAAAGATTTATTAATACAGGGTCTAATGGCTCTAAAGGCTAAGATTGGCTATCATGCAAATGTACTAAGCCTCTACTTGTATCTTCACAGCATTTGAATCCCAAATGTCCTCACTCATCAGCCAGCATGCAGTGCTCTTTAAGCCTTTAACTTAGCTGCAATTCTGACTTAAAAGATGCTACTGAGTTTGCATGTGGGGGAAGCAATAGCATTTGGAGTACAGGAAGGCAACTCTTTTTGTTGCTGTGAGTAATTCGCAAATATGTGAAGATAATTGGCATTATTTTCCTTTCTGTAATTTAAAGTAAGTCACAGGGCTGGAGGATTGGCTCAAGTGATACAGCACCTGCCTAGCAGGTACAGAGCCCAAAGTTCAAATGCCACTACCATGCCAAAAAAAAAAAAAAAACCAAAAAGAAATCAGTTACATAATTTCTCTTGAAGGAGATAAACTTACATTTCTTTCCTGAATTCTTCCATTTTCTGATTTTCTACAGTCAGAAGTTCTTTTGATTTGTTCAGCTCTTCCACATTTTTCAAGTTGTTTTCTTTTAGTGTGTCCAACTTAAAGACCAAGAGAAAAAAACTTGATGAATTTATTTCATCTCCAATGACATGGCTGGATAGATAATTATTCATGAGAATGATTCTATCTAAAAATAGATGAAATTAGTCACTTGTAAAAAAGAAAAGGGGGGGAGGTCTCCTGGGTGAAGAGATTACAAATGACAAATCTATTATGAAATGCAAGTCTCTTCCTTACATTTAGCCTCTCATTTCCTATACATTTGGCCAAAATGTCAAACTAAATTGCTACATAAACTAAAACAAAGGTTTTTTTTTAATCTTGTGTAGGATTCTCAGTACTTATCACTGAGCTTGCTATTCAAAATGATCCGCCTTCAAAAAGCAAGAAATAAGGTGCAAGGCAATAACATCAGCAAGGATTAGTCTCTGTAATCAAACAAGACCTCTTTCCTTTCACAGATTAGTAACTCTATGCAGGATTAGTAATGTGAGTAGTGAATTTACATAATCTTCATTACAAAAATTACTTATTTGAAGCAACATACTTGACTGGAAAGAATTTACTTATCCATTTGAACCTTAACATGAAGGGGAAGAAGCCACACAGTGAGACTGAAGGGCAGTCACACACAACCCCATCTCTACCCATATGGATACAGCTAGCTTAGGGCCTTGCTCCCAGTGGGAAATCCAGGCATGTTATGGGAATGAGTGAATATAAAGGATCACGTGCTCTGGTAGGTGGCTGGATTTCTGGGGTATGGAGCCCCCACCAAGGATGGGTGTTCATATAGGACATCCGTGACACAGGGTGTGATCCTGGGGCCAGGCTGGCACTTTGGGATTTGTGTCTTTATCTCCTATAGCCAGAAAACGTATCTCTCTCATATGCCACCAGCCAAGAATCCAGAAGGTGTCTTGTTAGTTTTAATGTACCAACTTCCTTTTGAATATTTCAGATTTATGAAAAACAAAACAGCACAATGGGCCCAAGACATGGTTCATCTAGTCTTGTGATCTGGCTACAAAAGATATACCACAGGATCTATTATGAGGCAGACACGATTCTCCCTGATTCTATCTTCAAAGGTTAGAGACATTTTCTAAAATCTTATTTATTCTGGCTCTTAATTTTGATTATCTTCTGTGATTTTTTAATGCTTCTCTATTTTTAATTTGTTTCTCTTAGGATTGTCAGTCCTAAGAGTGTACCCCTCTCTATGCAGATTTTGTTTCACCTGTAATTACCTCAAAATGTCATGCCTTGGTTAACCTTGATCATTTGCCTGGCACAAGGAGGCTTAGTCTTCATAGTAGTTATCCTGTTTGGCTGTCCCTTCCCTTGCTCTACTTCTTAACCTATTTCTTACCTGCCTGTGACTTTAAAAAGCACCTGAAGTTGTACAGAACTTCACACACCCATTTCAGTGAGTCAGTCTGCTAGGAACTTAGGTAGCAGCTTTCCAAGGGGAAAAGGGTTATTATGAGCTGGGAAGGGGGAAAGAAGAGAATCAGTGAAGGGTCCAAGAAGGAGAAGTGCTACTTGTGGATTGAATCAAAATATCTTCATGCCAAAAAGTTTGTCCCAGCTCCAGAGGTAACTAATTCAAGATGACATAAAAAGGAATCAGTATTGAACTACGCCAAGAAAAGGCCTACATCAAGCTCACAGCTGGGGATTGGAATTTAGCGGCTTCAAGTTGGGAAAGAGTAGAGGAAAAAAGTGTGTGATACAAGACAAAGGATATAAAATCCAGGAATGCCATCAGCATCTCTTCCCTCTAGTTATTTTAGAAAGTCACACTACTCAGGTTTCTCCATCAACTCTTAAAGGTTGGTCCTACTAAGTAATGAAGTAATACTCTAACATTATCATGGCTGTGGTGTACATCTGACCCTACTAACACAGTTCAGACTTGTATGAGTCCACACATGAAAAAAAATACACAATCCTGAGTCAGTGATCAAACATTCCACGAAGTCGATAAGCTGTTCTTTGTATAAAAAACCATTTAAATCTGATTACTTCGGTCTGCAGTTTTGCATTTGTTTGCTTGGTGTCCTCCAAGGAGGCCAGAGTTTCGGTCTTCTCTTTGGTCATCTGTTCCATCATCTGCATGGCATCTTCTGCAGTCTGAGCAGCCTAAGCATGAGAAAACACCGTGAGGAAGGAGGGTACCCTCTCTGAGGACATCAGGTGACAATCAGTCTGTGCTGCTCAGGCAGCATTCAGTGTCTACATGGCTAAGGGAACGCACATAAGGATGAGAGTCAGCAAACCAACCCTAAAGCAAACAAACCAAGACATGAAGGGTTCCTATTCCTATGACATTGTTCAATAAGTCAATTATTACACCATTTCCTTATTTTCACATCCCTCTAAACCTCCATCTCAGCTCCAAGCTTGCTCTCATCATTGACTTATACTTGACAGACTAATTAGTGACAACAAAGAGTAATGTCCCTACATAGCTCCATGTCTCAATCACATTTGTAAGTTCAAACATTATTCTTGCTACTGCAAATTTGGGGCTTTTGAAATCACTCAATTTAGGCTGATAATTTTTCACATAAAAATATAAATTATTTGGGCAATTATAAGGCTCAAGTGTTTCCTAAGAAGATTTCATGAAAAGTCTATGAGAGAAACTGTGGGGAATGAATATAATTGTGGCTGTGAATAAAAAAGATGAATATAGAGACAATGCATACTGACTGCTAAAAAAAATCAAAAAACAATAACTGTAAAAATAAAATCTAAGCACTTGCTTACAATTTCATTTGGTGTATGTAATAAATTTATGAGAACTCTGGGTTATACCTACCCTATTACCAGCCATGGAGATTTCAGTGGAATCTTCCAACTCCAAAAAGATAGACACAATGAAACAGTAAAAGCCTAACAGCAGAATACAGTACTTCAATGCTGCCCATTCTATTATTGCCCTCAAGCTTTTAACAACCAGTTAACTTTTGCACAAAGTTTTCTCCTTAAATTAAAAAAAATAAATCTTTTTTATTCACAGTTTGCAATTTTTTTCCAAATGGGGAGAGACTACTGCAATTAGACATTTAGTAAAGAATCACCCTTTCAGACTGTAATGAATAGCTGGAGACATATAAGCAACTGATTTAATTGGGTGGATTTCCATAAGAGCAATGAAGAAAATCACCTAAGCCAGTAACTGTTAGTGCACAGGGTTAGTAAGTAGTCCCGGGTGCTCAATACTTGAACCTCTCACTTTACCGTAAATGAATGAAGAGTCTCAAGCTCTCTAATTTTAAAGTAAGCTTGCTCTTGTCTTTCCTCAAAGTACGGTTTTCACTTTGAGATTCTAGGAGGTTGGCTGAAATGTGGCTGTTTGGTTTTGGCCAGCTGACTAATTTCTTTCTGGAGGAGGAAGTAGCTTTCTTCCAGCTTCTGCTTCTCCTTCAGGAGCTCATCACTTCTCAGCATCATCTCTCTTTTCTCAGTCAGGAGGTTCTTGTTCTCCTGCAGCACCTTGGATCGCTCAGCCACAGCCACTTCGTGATTCAGCCGAAGGTCATCCAGGATCTTGGTGAGGCAGCTATGTAATTCCTGCAGTTCCAACTTGGACTTGGACAGGGCAGCAAAGTCGCCTTTTAGGGTCTCTATGTTGGCAGCAAGGTGAGCTGTTTCCGCACTCAACAGTTCCTTTTCCTTAATTATTTCTACCACTCTTTGCTCCGATTTAGTCTTCTCTTGGATTAGTACAAAATTTTCAGACCGGAGCTGCTCAGTACACTCTCTTAATCCCTCCAGCTCCTGCTCCAGGAGCACTGTTCTTCCTTGAAGCTTATTGTTTTCATATAAGGATGACTCATTTTCCTTCGCTCTGACCTCTTTTTCCAGGATTAAGGACTGCTGCATTTTATGAATCTCTTCATTTAATTTCTTACACTCTTCTTGAAGGTTCAAGCCATCCCTCAGCAAAATGTTCTTTTCACAACAACAAGTCTTAAGCTCAGCATCCAAACTCTCCTTTGCTTGCAACATGTTGGTGTGTTCTTTTTCGAGGTTCTTTTTGGCATTTGAGCCTCTTTCAGCATCAAAGAGAGGTCACACTTGCTGGCTGTCAGCTCTTCATTTTCCTGTTTCTCTCCTGAAGTTCTTTCTTCAGAGCATCAATATTACCAAGCAGTTTCATCTTCTCATGTACAAGTATTCTTCTGTTGCAGCCTCCTGATCATATTTCCTTTTAAGGTCTCCTAAAGCTTTGATGGAATTTTCTCTCTCTACAAGTAAATCTCCATTTTGCACTTCCAGTGCTGACTTTTCATTCAAGAGACTATCCTGCTGCTTTTTAAGCTTAGTAATTTTCTGCAAGCCATCTCCTTCTCAGAAGTTAGGTACGTGATCTTCTCGTTCAGGTTCATCTCAAGATGGGCAGCCTCTTCAAAGCTCTTGTTGAGTTTTTCAGTGATGATCCTATTTTCACTTAAAAGCTCTTCTTTCTCAGCCAGGAGCTCCTCTCAGAAGTGGCCAGGGTCTCCTTCTCATGGAGAAGCTGGATACACTCAGAGTCTGTGATTGCTCGACTGGCCTTAATCTCTTCCAGGAGCTTTGTGAGGCTTGCATTGGAGGTCTGAAGCTGCCTTGTCTCCAGCTCCGCCTTCTTCAGTGCTTCTTGGTACAATCCAGCTGTGTGCGCATTGACCCAGCTTCCGTGCTGAGCAACTGCTTGACCTGCAAGGCAGCCTCCAGGCTGGCACTCAGTTTCTCCTGACCCTGACACAGAATGTCCTTCTCAAACTGCAGGTCTCTGTTGCTCTGGAGAAGGCTCTCGTTCTGCCTTTAGGGCCAGGCACATGTTATCGAGGCTTGACTGTTTCTCTTCTGCTGACTTCTTTTCAGTTGTGAGCTCCTCAATCTCCTCAACCAAGGCTTTCTGATCCTTCACAAGTTCCTCGTAAGCACTCTGAAGCTTCTGAATGATGTCGTCCTTGTCTTTTGCCAAGATGAGGTTTTCGGCAGTAAGCTTCTTGATCTGATCCTCCAGCTGGTCTTTTTCTGCCCGAGCCTTCTCAGATGCAGCCATCAGAGTGTCACTGTGGAACTGGAGCTCCTCAACAACTGCCTGTGTGCTGGCCTTGGATGCTTGCAGGGAGTCATTTTCCACATGTATCCTCAAGAGCTCTTCCTGTGCTGCACTGATTTCTTGAAGCAGCTTCTCTCTCTCTATGGTCAAAGCTTCTCTATCAAGATGTTCCTGCTGGTAAAGCTTTTCAGCATTCTGTTTTTCTTCTAAGACTTTCTCCTTCTCTAAACTGAGCAATTCATTTAATGACCATAGTTTCTGCTGGTCTTCCTGAAGCAAAGTTATTTTGGCCTCCACTTCCATAAGCTTTGATAAAAGTGAACCTTTTTCTAACTTTAAAGCATTTCCTTCCTGTGCAAGAAGCTGCTTCTCTGATCTGAGACCCCTCAGCTCTTCTGAATTAGTTCAATTTCTTTTTTGGCTGATGTTAACAAATAAGTTAGCGACTACAGAAACAAAAGATGGAAAGAATGGAAACAGAATGAATCAAGCAGACAAATGCAAGCCCAAATAACTTAATCTAGCCTAAATTGTAAAAGTTTAAATTTTGTTGTAAGAAACTTCAGAGAAACTATGTGAATAACAAGGGAAGAAACTAGGGAAATGGAGCCCCTAGAGGGATATACAAAGCAAATTTAGCTTTGCAAAGTGCTTACTAGCTTGTTTTATCTTTGAAACAACTTATGAAATTATTTCCGATAGCTCTGTACAAGATAAAAACACTAGCTTGATTTTAACATCTGGACAAAAGATTCTCTCCTGCCATTCCAATTATCCTATTATTTCATTTCCACTATAGAAAAGATTCATAGAAGAATTTTTCAAAATAAGCATGTGCTGGTTATAGCACATGCTTAGCATGTGAAAAACCCTTGGTTCAACTTCAGCACCAAAAAATAAATAAATAAATCAAAAAACTACCAAAATTGAGGATATATTAACAAAAAGGGGGAGGGGAGGAAAAACAAGGGAAAATAAACAAATAAACCACTGCTTATTAAGTACTTACTTAATAAAAGGACAGTTACTGGGCTCAGAGTGATTTAGTTCTAGTATAATATATATGTATGTATATAAGCATATAAATGTGTATATGTTGTGTGTGTGTAACATTTGGACATAATTAAATATAGAATAATTTCTAGGTTTTGGTGACTAAAATGGACAGGTTTTTAAAAAAATGTATTGGTTTATAAGATAATTTAACGCAGTGTCTACAATGCCACTGTCTAGAACTTTCTGCAATGATATAAATATTTAACTGGGAGTCGGTGGCTCACGCCTATCATCCTAGCTACTCAGGAAGCAGAGATCAGAAGGATGGAGGTTCAAAGCCAGCTCCTGGCAAACAGTTTGTGAAACTCTATCTCAAAAAAAAAAAATCCCAAAAAAGGGCTGGTGGAGTGGCTCAAGGTATAGACGATAAATTCAAGCCCCAGTACTACCAAAAAAAAAAAAAAAAGTAAATGTTTACATTTGACTATCCCATATAGTAGCTACATGACTACCAAGCACTTAAAAAGTGATGAATGCAACTGAAGAGCTAAATTTGCAGTTTTAAAGATGTAACAAATGTAAATTTAAATGGCCTCATGGTGCTGGTGGTTACTGTACTGGACAGCAGAGCTACAGGTCACTGGTTCCTAAGCCACGCCCTGTGACCTTATGAAATAATGTATAAAATTTGTTGACTATTGCATAGGTAAACTTCCCAAGGATAACAGCCTTAGGTTTTACTGGATTCGCCAGGGTCTGTAACTCATTAAAATCCACTAAAATCAAATATCCAAATAAAAACTCTGGCCTTTTAACGAAATGACTCTTACATGAAACCACCAAACTAAATTAGTGAGACCTCACATAAACAACAAATGCTGTGGTTGGTCAGGCTGCAATAGTTTAAAGGTAACACTATAAAATTGGAATCTGTCCAGATGAAGGGAACAAACACACCCAAAAGATCTGGAAATCATATCCAGTATTAAATGGCTTATGGAATTAGAGAGAAGAGAAAGCCCTGACTGCCAACACACGGAAGAGGGAAGCTGTAGTCTTTCATATTTGACGTGCACTATGTCAAGGCACACTTGGTTAACAGGAGGTTGGGGCAGTGAGGGCTGCTGAGAGCAGAACCCAGGGCCTTGCTCATACTAGCAAGCACTCTACAGCTGAGCTACATCCCAGCCCTAACAGAAGGTTTTTAGTGGAGTTGGTTTCAAGTTCTCTTTCACAATTTCTTTTCTACTAAATTATACAAATATTTCTGTAATACATCAAAAATAAATAAAGAAGTATTTTCTTTGAGCAATAAAAAGTTAATTAGCACTAGGAAGTTGAACTTCATTAAGTTACCAGAGTCAAAAAATATATTGGGGCATAAATACAATCCTGATAGCACAAACTGAAATCCAGCACATCAAGTTCTTTCAATAAAAAGGTATTTCCTTGGGCCCCTGAGCCCAGCTTCCTTGTTGATAAAAGCTCAGAGTCCTCTCCACAGTTCTCACTTTGAACTCCTACAAAAGCTCTGTTCATCCAGCTCTCCAGCCCGTAGGCGCTCTCCAGCTCTGACTCGCTAGCTTCCCTTAGCCTCTGACTCCTGCTTTTTCTACAGCTTCTTTCCTAAACCCAGTGAATGTGACAGCAGGCTTGGCCAAGATTAGAGGATATCCTTACCCACACGATAGTCTACTGCAAGCAGGCAGATAAGAGCTCAGGCAGCACAAAAGGGTTTGTGACAGCTGGGAACAAGGAGCACTAGGGGTGGTGATGGCTACTCAATACACTTAGGGGAAAGGTCTGTAGCCATCACCATCCCTGAGAAGGAAGTGCAGCTGGCACCAAACACTTGAGGCCACAGAAATGCAATTCATCACCATGTACACAGAGGTTAACATTTGTGAGGGCCCACTCAACGTGTCCCGTTTGCTGCTACTATCTAAGCTCCCTGGCAGGCTTGGCACAGAAGCCAAGGTAAGCAAGGTGTAATACAACTGCATCATTTGTCCCCCGGAACATACTTTGGCTTTGTCAGCTTGTGTTTTTAGTTCTTCCATCTTTTGCATCAAGTCTCTGTTCTCGTCCTGGGCAGCCCTCAGCTTCTCCTCCGTCTCCAACAGTATCTTCTGTAGGTTCTGTAGGATTTCTTCATGCTTAGTTTTTGTCTCAGAACTGGCTTTTTCAAACCTGGCTTTCAGATCCTGACACTGGTTGTGGTTCATTTCCATCTTCTTTTCCTGCAGACACCACAAGGAAAGGAGTAAATCACCTGGCCATATATGGCCACCCTGCCCTCCTTGTGGCAAACAGTCCCATTTACTCCCTCCTTACCATGTCCAACAGTTTTTCCTCTAGTTCTCTCTTTTCTTCCTGGTGCTTTTTAGCTGCTTCCTGCTGGCTCTGTTCAGCCTTAAGAGTTACTTCCCCAATATTTTTCTGCAGAACACTTGCATTTTCATTAGCCTTTGTAAGTTTTAGCTCTAATTCTTCTACACATCTAGAACAAATTTCAATACACAGTGTCAGATTTATCATAACAATGTTTTAAATTTAATAATTATAATAGAGTCAGACACCACCTGATCACACCTGTAATCCTAGCTACTTGGGAGGCTGAGATTGAAGGATTACAGTTGTGAGGCCAGCCTGGGCAGTTTGCAAGG